GGAGAATAACGACATTAGCCCAAGGTCCAATGTTGCAAGCCATAGCTTTGATGAGCATGATGATGATCTCAGTGGGTTGTAACAGTTTCAGTAGTCGGGGTTGAGAGAAAGGATGAAGTGCGAGTGGTGTATGACGGGGGTGACTAAAATAATAATCTCCAGCAAATCGATAAATCGATGTTGGCGGGTATAATGTGGCGTTGGTCAATGGAGTCACCGCATGATTTGCTGTCGAGGATCCACGAATGGGAATTGGTATTAAGCCTGGTTAATGGCCGACAATATCTGACAAGTCAGAAGGGACGAGTGCCGGTGTACGTGGTGTACGTTTTACTGTTCATGGACCGCTTTTCTTCTATGATGCGTTCGACGTTTTAGAATCACAGCGGTTTCGTCTTCATAAAATCAGCGGTAGATTGGCACCACGCGCAATTTTCAAAAAATAAAGACACTTGTTCAAATGTCTAGCGCGTAGTGTATTATTCTTGCTTACATTAGTTGAAGTTCCAAATTCAGTAATAACAGACGCATTTACTGATTCCATTATTGTGAGTACAAATACAACTCCTACACCCTTGTAGATTTTGAAACATTGTTTATCCTGTGATATGTAACTGAGTCTGTTGGATTTGGGGCAGCACCCTCGCGACAACAACTGGTGCTCCGAACTGCGATCCTTCAGGTCACAATGAATACTACTGTAAAGTTTCGGTTGCTTGTTCAGCGTGGTTGGGGCTTGCAAAGTCCGCATAATTTGTTATAATGAGTTCGGTGGGGGTCAGAAGGGGGTGGCGGGTGACGTGAAAAATATTCGTGTAGTCCTAGATAGAACGATAGAATCCTCCCTTTCCTATAAAACAGCTTCGCAGCAGGTTGACTGACAAATTTCGCCAATAATTGATAAGAATTTCATTTTATGAGCATAGTGACCTTGATAACAGAGCAATTAACAGCAGAGCAAAGTGCACTAATAATATCTATCTCCATACTCCGCCACCGCGAATCTAGTGCCGAGGTAGTGCAGAGCCCTTGTTACAGTATCATCAGTGCTACCCTCACAGACTTCATCAGGAAAGTGGGAAGATCAGTAAGTATGCCGTCTATATTGTCTAGAGCCATCTAGGAGAGCTAGCTAGCTCGGCTAGACACACTACTTTCGCGAGATCCCTATTTATTAGTCGGTATAAAAGCTTACTATAGATCTAGGGAGTCTACATAATGGGTGTAGAGATTCCCAAATTCTTGATGTTGCCTCTCCTCGCAGAAAATGGCCTCGCCCTCCCCAGTTGCGGAAGGGCACAGCCCACAGTATGCCTCGATGCTCATCGCATCCCAAGATAACGCCTCCATCTCCTCCTTGTCCACACGCACACATTCTGTCGAAATCATGGTCTATCGCACCAGCAAGGCAAATTTACTCTATCAAGAGTGGACCTCCGTGCCTTTCAAAGACAATTATGAACACCTCAAATTTATGCCGATGTGGGACAGAAGGTTCATTTCAATCCGCTGGATATCATGTGATGGAATGAGGATGATGGTCAGGTATTGCATCAGTTTTTCCGCCGCCAAATTACTTTGGTATTCAATTACCACGTCCGGCCGAGGTCGTACCTGGGCACCTTTCCCGTGGACACTCAAATACAACTCTGATGAGGATATTTCCAACGACGATAATCACATTTTCTTCCTACAAGCTGGCGAACAACACCACTCTGTTCATGTCTATTCTACAACGACGTGGTCTCGTGTCCGCTCCTGGACAATTATGTTTGAAGGTGGACCAATAACAATCCTCCCTAACTTAGCGATTGACATGCCAGTGCATCTCGCAATTTCGAGAAGTCGTGATCACAGTGACGACAGGACTGTTTGTTGAATAACACCATTGAAACCCACCCGGCCGAAATGGACTGACCCAAGACCACCTAACTCGGGCATGGGTACCCGGTATCACTAACGGACCTTTGATGGTGCCTAGTAATATATGTGGTAAAATATATAAACTAGAGGACCATGGTAGTATCACCCTCAGTCTGTTATATAATATGTGAGACTGAGGTGAGTCAAGATCATCATGTATTCACACACAATGTAACTAATAACCATCCATTAGTTATATTGTTATTAGGTACATGAAATACATAGTCCATTATACAATATACAAGCTGAGTTATATTGTTATTAGGTCTTGCTTTCTAACAGGTTATGGGCCTATCTTTCTGAGTAAGATCTCTATAGTCGACATCTTCCTTAACCATGACTACTCCAACTTCCACAGATGCTTTTGCATCTTCCATCACCCTTGTCTGTACCAATATTACTTACACAGGACTTAAACTTGACAAACTCAAGTCAAACTATCATCCTTGGTTCTGTGCTGCAGACCTTTTTATTGCCCTTACTGGACTTTCTGGCTATATTGATGGCACATCCCAGAATCCAGTGAGCCTTGTGCCAAGGTTAACTGGTTGGCAAACAACTCCCTGGCTGCCACACTTATTGCCTCCACCATTGAGACTTCTGAACAGGAATATATCAATTGCAAACTGGGTGTGAAGGCCTGTTGGGAGGCTATCCAACAAAGACACCAGAGTGAGGGTCCCATTTGCCTAGTGCAGTTAGTGCAGGAAGCCCTCACAACTTGCTGTGCTTGTACCACTCCCTTACCCATAACTGCCATAAAGATTCATTCCCTAATTGATCATGCATATGAAATGGGTGACATTTCTAAAGACCTTTTGAAATGCATTGCTCTCCTAGGCTCTCTTGGCAATGTGCACTCCATTATCACTTGGGATATCTCTGCCTCTATTGATTCATGCCTATTTGGATAATGAGCAAAACCTTCTTAATTCTGACAAGGTGCAACCTACTAAGTTGGTCACCCCTGTCTGCCCAAAATCCCTCAAAGTCCTCTGTTATCTGCTCTAACTGCAAATGCAGCTACCATGAGGTGGAGTTTTGTATCCATCCTGGTGGGGGCATGGCAGGTAAGACTCTTGATGAATCCAACAGGCTCATCACCTGGCCCATGGTTTGAAGTCAGGAACTCCCACTTTGCCAACTGCCAATCCAACTACCCCTGCCTCTTCTGCACCCAAAGTTCCTATTAAATTACAGGGAGCTGATGGCCATATTTATGTTGTCAATGTGGACTCATTGGATTTCTCCTCTTTGGAAACACCTACTGTCAATGTCACCATTTCTTCCCCTGCATCCATCCCTATGTCATCACAGGACATGATCAAATATGATGGATGGCTTGTCATTGAGGAGGAGTTGGTAACTAATATTGATTGGTCCATGCACAGCCAATCCACCTTGGCCACCATTAACACTACTGACATTACACCTATATCCCAATCCAACTGTACACCTATTTCCACTGACTTGCATCTGTTCTGGATGGACAGTGGTGCCTCCATCCACATATCTCCCAATCACACTGACTTCTTGATTTTACAAGCTGTTACTCCCTGCTCTGTTAAAGGATTGGGTGGCTCCTTGGTATGGGCAATAGGGATTGGTGATATAAAACTTCAGATCAGTCATGGTATACATCATTTTACAGAATGTCCTCTATATTCCAGATACCACAGTAAGGTTAATATCAATTCACTGCCTCACAAGGGACTCAAACATTATCACACACTTCAACAATATGTCTTGTTGGCTAAGTACAAAATCTTCTGGAATGACAATTGCTTGGGGAAGCCTACTTCCACAAAAACACCTCTATTCTCTAGATGTTTACTCCACTCAAGGTGAACATGCTTTCATCACTCATTGTTTACCCATACTCGAAACTTGGCACTGCCATCTTGGACACACCAATTACCAAGCTATTGTGATATGATCAATACTGACCTTCTCAAAGGTGTGACCCCAACCTCTTCTATGAATTCCCCTCCTGAATTTGTTTCCTGTATTCTCAGAAAACAGACCAAAATGCCTGTTCCCAAAAAACTGGGGGAAGGAGTGGGATATACATAGAGCAATGAGGAGGCTTGAAAAAGTGTGGATCAATCTTTCTGGACCTAGTCCCATTATCTCATGCATGGGATACAGTTACATTATGAATATTGTAGATGATTATTCCAGCTTCTGCTGGACAATCTTACTCAAATTTAAAAGTGATGCCTTCCCACAACTTCAAAATTGGGAACATGCCCAAGAAGTTGAAACTGGCTTAAAAGTTAGTATATACAGAACAGATAATGGGGAACTTAAGAGCTTTGAATGGCTAACTGGCTCAATTCAGGAGGAACTGATCATCAATTTACTGCCCCATATACATCAGCACATATCAGACATGTGGAATGATTACACCACACTCTAATGGCCAAGGCACAAACCATGCAGATTTATGCAGAATTACCTGCATACCTATGGGATGAATTATATCAAACTGCTGCTCACTTACACATTAAAACCCTCACTAAATCCTTACTGGGCAAAACACCTTGGGAAATGTGGTATGGCCAAAACCAGATTACTCATACATGTGTGAAATTGGTTGTCATGCATTTGTATTAATCCAAAACAAGGTGAATCCAAAATTTTTTGAGAGATCTATTGAATGTATCCTCATCAGATATAATGGTCATTTTAAAACTTATCAGTGTTACGACCCCAAAACACATCAAATCTACAGCTCCTATCACATCTGTTTTCTTGAAAGTCACAATGGCCATTCCCACATTCCCACCATTGACCCTGTCCAAAACATGACCATTTCTATGGACCTGTCACATGCTTCTTATGATCTACATCCTCATGAACCTACCTGTGACACTCCCCCAATCCTGGATTCATGTAACTCCCCTGAATTGGTGGACATACTACCACCCAACTCATCTGCACTTCGGCATTCCAATTGTACATACCATGGTGGGATTACACTCTTTGGGTGCATGACTTGACTGTGCAATTAAAGACTCTAGGACAGTGCTGAATGACTACAATCACAAAAACTGTTAAAAAGTGTAGAAAATGAATGGCCAGACTGGGATTGAACCCAGGGCTTCTGTATATATAGCAGATGTTAACCATTACACTACCTGACCCTGGGAAACACTGTTAGCATTACTCAATCTAACACACTCCCTTAATGTTAGCACTCAATAATATTATATGCAGATACAGTGACTCACAAAACCTTTCCAATGTTTGGAGTTTGCATATTGGCAGACTGCTACCAGGGGCGAAAAAATAGCAAAAAATAGCAAAAACTCACACTAGATAGCTAAACATGTATAGAATTATGGTCTAGAATATTATTACATAATATGCATGCTAAAAATAATTTAGTCAGGCCTGCTCATTGGAAAGGTTTTGTGGCTGATGATTTTGATGCAATGTATACTATATTTTGGCTATATTTTAATACTTGGTATACCCTCCCTTGGCCTTTATTACTTCCTCAACCCTTCTTGGCATGCTTTCAATTAACTTCTGACACTCAGAAGCTGGTATATCTTCCCACTCCTTCTCTATCCTCTCCCACAACTCCAGAATCCCACTTGGTGCAGTGGCATACTGTCCCAGCTTTCTCTTCAAGTGATCCCATAGATGCTCAATTGGATTGAGATTGGGGGACTGGGCAGGCCATTTTAGAACAGTCATTCATGCTCTTCAAACCATTCCTTTGCCTTTTTACAGGTATGTTTTGGATCATTGTCCTGCTGAAAAATGATTTTATCAGGGGACAGCTGATAATACCTGATGCTTTGTTGCAGCTCTTCATCCAAGATACTCCTGTAAAGCTCCCCATCCATTCTACCCTCAATCCTGGTGGCATATCCCACACCCTCCCACATGAAACACCCCCAAACCATGACAGACCCTCCACCAAACTTCACTGTTCCTTGAGCAAGCCTCTTATTCAGGCCTTCCCCAATCTTTTTCCATGCCCACTTCCTCCCATCTGAGCCAAGGCAATTTATTTTAGTCTCATCAGACCACACAACCCTCCTCCAGTCATCTAAAGTCCAGTGGTGGGCCAAAGCAAAGTCAAGCCTCTCCTTCATATATCTCTTGGACAAAAGTGGCTTCTTCTTCTTCACAACTGCTTTCATCCCTGCTTTCTTCAAGCTCCTCTGAACTGTCTCAGCTGAAATAGGGTGGTTGGTGATGGTCTGAATTCTCTGGGCTATGTCAACTGCAGTTTCAGCCTTTCCAGATGTGATTAGATGGACTGCATGATGGATGTTGGTAGCAGAGAGCTTCTTGGGATGACTGTTAGGATACATGTACAAGGCGGGTCTCCAGAGAAACCCACGGAATATCCGGTAGGACTTGGCTTCAGCTTATAGGCTGCACCCTCACAAGATCATGTTGTCCAATTTCAGACAGGTGGACGGGAATCCCGGGGAGTCCAGGTGGGGTTCGTGGGTTGAGGGGTCAGAGGTCGGAGGTTGTGGGTCAAGAGGTCGTGAGTTGGGATAGGTGAGAGAGATAGATGCACCAGAGCCTGTGGGCTCTGACTAGTGTGAGCGGTGTGATTCAAGTAGGAGTTTAGAGCAGAAAATGTATTAGATTACTGGGGGGAATTTAAGCCAATTTTTGTGACTGGATTGTATGTACAACATCTGCCAGTTTAAATAGACCGTGGAGTGAATGACATACCAAATCCATAATGATGAAATGAAACTAACAAAACATAAAATGAGAATAGTAAACACCAAATTTGGTGTTAGGAATGGGACGGAACAGAGTGGAGTCTGAATCGTGACAAAGCATAACCCATAACGGGAAACAGAGTGGGAGCAGAGTCCTAATCGTGACAGGTCATTTGACTAAAACGGGAATGGGGCTCAGTTAGAGTGATGATGGGATTCTGAGTGGGGTCTGGTGACTGATGTGTGAGATGAGGATGGACATAGACAGGGAATGGAGTCTGGGGGTATTCTGGTGACTGATACGTGATGTAATGAAGGTCAAACATAGACAAGTCTGATGTACAGAGTCTGGGTGGGAATTCCTGTAAACTGACATTTGGTGTGTCTAGGGTGTGGGTGCGTATGAGTTAATGCCTGGAGTCCGGTGGGATTTGCTGGTCATAACAGCACACTCCCTTTATGCCGAAGTCCCAAAGAGGCTCTAGACCTAGATAAGGTTCTTGTCAGCTACACGCATGTGTCAAAAGTCATGTCAGTTACACGTATGTGTCAAAGAGTCATGTGATCTGGAAGGTAAGGTTCAAACACGATGAGCCTATATATAAATTTGAAGAAATAGAAATTTCTTCTTCTTTATTACCCCCATCTTGCCATAATGGGACCAAAACCAAAACCATGCAGGCCAATGCCAACCATCAGGCCATCCATGGGCTCTCCATATTGTGTGCCTCTCAGTGTGGTGCAGATTTTGGCACAGTGAGAAGAACAGCATTGTCAATGGGAAGAGGCAGAGAAGGAGGTGAGGGAGGTCAAGGAGGCATTGGACGGGGAGTACCAGGTGGCATTGGCTGCAGAGGAAGAGGCTGTGAGGCAGAGGCAAAGAGATGAGGAAGAGGCTGCGAGGCAGAGGCAAAGAGATGAGGAGGAGGCTGCGAGGCAGAGGCAAAGAGATGAGGAGGAGGCTGCGTGGGTGGCCGCAGAGAAGGCCCGGGTAGCTGCAGAGAAAGCCAGGGTGGCTGCTGAGAGGGCCATGGTGGTCACGGGAAACATAAGTCCCTTTAACTTGTCGTTTTTTTTGAACTGACTTGGTATTTTCAGCGCAAGGCAACAGAGGTTGAATCGGAGTCCAAGGGGGAGCCGGAGAGCCCCCAGAAGGTATGTCTCAGGTCCGTGGGATAACTGGGGAAACTAACCATATCAACAGAAAGCAAGGAAAGTGGTGCTAGTCCATCTTCCTGTACGGAACAACCTGCGGTGTTCTGGTTGTAATGACCAGAACACTGAATGCAATCGAAAGTCCAGGCAGGGACCGGGCTGTTACCAGTGCATACACCTCAAAGCGAGGTGCTCGCTTGTGCATGAGCAGGCCACGGGATCCGGGATGCAGGTCATTAGCAGGTCGGATGGGTATTCCGGTTTGGAGGAGGCCTTGGGACAGATCGCCGAGGGCATTGAAGCCCAGAATGAGTTGCTCCAGAAGAGCAACAAGGTAAGCGTGATAATGGCAAAGGATCTCCATGCACTCCACTCGGACCATTACAAGTTCCTAGTGGAGTACGCCGGCTTTGTATATGAGAAGCCAGAGGCCGGGAGTTCTGATGCGGAGGTAGCAGAGCTCCCTGAGGAGATGAAGGAGGCGGGGAAAAAAGATAGCCCCATAAATGTAGACTGAAAAAATATAATAAAACTTGATAATAATCTTGAACTTAAAAGTAAAGCGTGAAAAAACATAAGAATCAAAGTGAAGGTCAAAGTCAAAGTCAAAGTCCATGGAGAATCCGCTTAAGGACTTGAAGGACATGTCAGAACCTGTAAAAGCAAAGAGAGACATAGGGCGACAGGGAATAATGAAAATGAGTCCAAACATAACATGTGGTCCACAGAGTGTGGTCAGAGAGATGATAGTGGCCCAGGTTTGAGTGGGTAAGCTGTATGAAAGTCAGTGATGAGATCCATGGCATTACTGAATTCTGTGGCCAAAATCCATGAGGTTTCTTCATTGGTGCCCTCGTAACCCACCCACTTGACCAAGTAAAGCAGTTTACAAGTGCGTCAACGCTTGTCAATTTTCGAATCTAAAATTTCTGAGATTTCAAACTCGGATTCTCCGTCAATGATGACCGGAGGAGGCAGAGATTGCATGCAATCCGGGATAGTGTTAGCAGTACAAGGTTCTAACATAGAAACATGAAATACCGGGTGTACCGCACACATGCTATCCGGAAGCTGTAGGGTCCAAGAGACCGAACCTATTTGTGTGATAATTTCAAATGGACCTAAATATTTTTCAGCAAGCTTTTTTGATGGATGGGTAGTCCTAAAGAATTGAGCTTTGACAAAAACACGATCGCCAATTTTGAAGTTGGGTGGCGGGATCCGGTGTCTGTCCGCTGAAAGTTGGTATTGCTCTTGGGCGGACTTTATTGCAGTCTGGAGTTCCTTGTGGAGCTCGTGGAGGTCCATGGTGAACTCTTGAGCGTGAGCAGAGGTAAGATTTCATTCTGGATGTACTGTAATATTTGGATTATATCCTTTATTTGCAAAGAACAGGGAAATGCCAGTAGTGGCCGATGGTGCATTGTTGTAAGCAAACTCTGCAAGTGGTAACAAAGATTTCCAATTGTCCTGTTGGTAGTTGCAATATACATGGAGATATTGTTCCAATGTCTGATTGACGTGTTCAGTTTGTCCGTCACCTTCCGGGTGGTGTCTGGACATGAAATGTAACTTCATGTCCAAGGATTTCCTGAGGGATCTACAGAAGTGAGACATGAACTCTGATCCTCGATCGGAAGTTATGTGGGACGGAACTCCGTGCTTGGAAAATACGTGGATAATGAAATGTTCCGCTAACTGCACATATGTAATTGTATCATGTGTAGGGATGAATGTACCTTGTTTTGAGAATCTGTCAACAACGACTAGAATGGCGGAAAAGCCTTCAGAGTCCAGTAGGTGTTCAATGAAATCCATTGAGATAGAATTCCACGGGTGTTCCAGTACTGGGAGTTGTTTCAAAAGGCCGTATGGCTTGTGTCACTGAGATTTCGAGTGGGGACAAGTAGTGCAAGATGTACAATAATGCTTAATGAATCCACGGAGTCCGGGCCAAGTATATTCTCTTCTTATTAGTGATAGAGTTTTGTTGTACCCAAAATGTCCTGAGAGTGGATGATCATGTTTGTATTGAAGGACCCTGAGGCGGAGGCTGGCGGAGTCCAGTACATAGATCCTATTGTCAAGTCTAATGAAACCATGCTGATCAAGAGACCACCAAGGTTGATCGGGGTCCACGGGATTGTCAAGGTGAGCTTTAGTTATCGGGTCTAGTGGAATTGCCAATAGAATATCTTGATGTAACTTCTTGATATCCATAATGATAATTCCACGGACAATGGGATGCACGAGGAAAGTTGCACAGACTGATGCGGTAAGTTGCTGATTCA